AATCATTGCATCCCAAAAACTGGCGCATCCCAAACATCGTTATATCCCATAAATCTATTGATCCTGAAATTGTCGCATTCCAAAACCAGGCGCATCCCAAAAAATGGACACATCCCAAAAATTGTTGCATCCCAAAAAACTGGTGCATCCCAAAAATCATTACATCCCAAAAACAAGCACATCCCAAAAAACGGGCACATCCCGAAATTGGTGCATCCCAGACAATAGAAACATCCCAAAAATCATTGCATCCCAAAAACTGGCGCATCCCAATCATCATTTTATCCCATAAATCTATGGATCCTGAAGTCACATTCCAAAACCAGGCACATCCCAAAAAATGGACACATCCCAAAAATTGCTGCATCCCAAAAACAGGCATGTCCCGAAAAACGGGCACATCCCGAAAAATGGGCACATCCCGAAATTGGTGCATCCCAGACAATAGACACATCCCAAAAATCGTTGCATCCCAAAAACTGGCGCATCCCAAAAAATGGACACATCCCAAAATATGCTGCATCCTGAAACTGTTGCATCCCAAAACCAGGCGCATCCCAAAAAACGGACACGCGCCACAGATCATTCCATCCCAAACAATGGATGCATCCTAGAAAACCGCCACATCCCAAACATCAGCGCATCCCAAAAATCGGCGCATCCCAAAAAACGGTGCATCCCAAACATCAACACATCCCAAAAATCGGCGCATCCCAAAAAACGGTGCATCCCAAAAATTGGTGCATCCTGAAAAACGGTGCATCCCAAACATCAACACATCCCAAAAATCTGTGCATCCCAAAAAACGGTGCATCCCAAACATCGGTGCATCCCAAAAATTGGTGCATCCCAAACATCAACACATCCCAAAAATCAGCGCATCCCAAAAAACGGTGCATCCCAAAAATCGGTGCATCCCAAAAAACGGCGCATCCCAAACATTAACACATCCCAAAAATCGGCGCATCCCAAAAAACAGCGCATCCCAAACATCAACACATCCCAAAAATCGGCGCATCCCAAACATCAACACATCCCAAAAAACGGTGCATCCCAAACATCGGCGCATCCCAAAAAACGGCGCATCCCAAACATCAACACATCCCAAACATCAACACATCCCAAAAAATGGTGCATCCCAAACATCAACACATCCCAAAAAATCGGCGCATCCCAAAAAACGGACGCGCCCCAACGTGTGCCCTGAGAGCCGCCACATCCCGACTTTCCCACCCTGGAATTTTCCCGCCCCGCCGCTGCCTCTCCTTGGTGGTGCCGCTCTGGCCCGTGGCGGGAACGGCGGGAATGGCGGGAACGGCGGGAATGGCGGGAACGGCGGGAACGGTGGGAATGGAGGGAATGACGGGAATGGCGGGAATGGCGGGAACGGTGGGAATGGAGGGAATGGCGGGAATGGCGGGAATGGCGGGAATGGCGGGAACGGTGGGAACGGCGGGAATGGCGGGAACGGCGGGAATGGCGCTCACCCTTTTTGCGGGATCCCTCCTCGGAGTCGGGCTTGCGGCTGACGGACACGACTTTCATCAGGAGCTGATTCCCGCCCTGCCGGATCAGCGCCACCACCTGCTTGTGCCCCACCTTCACCACGTTCACTCCGTTCACCTGCATTCCCAAGAAAAAATAAAATAATGGATCAGAATTCCCAGCTGGGGGGAAAAAAAAACCCAAAAAACTATGGAAATAGTCTGCAAAAATCCCGCTTTTCCCAGGTTTTTTTCCCCCCCCCTTCCCGGCTTTTCCCGGCTTTTTGTGTGGAGGTTGGGAGTCGCCGCCTGGTGATGGAGAGGAGGAGATGGGAATTGCCGATTCCTGCGGGGAGATTCCAAAAAAAATTCCCAGTTTCTTTCAGGCCTGGGAGAATCCCTCTGCTCTCCCAGGCCTGCGGATCCAGGAAATCCTGGAATGGGTTGGGAACGGCCTTGAATCCCGTCCAGATCCGAGGGCAGGGACTTCCCGCTATCCCGGCTGATCCCGGCTGGCCTCGGGCACTTCCAGGGATTCCCAGCCCTTGGAATGGGGTCGAAGGTCCTTTCCCACCCAAAGCATTCCAGGAGATTCCATGATTTTGTGGAATTCCATCCCTTCATCCAGGAGCAGCCTGAGCTGCTGGTGATTCCTGGGAATTCGAAGCTTCCGGGAACAAAGGAGCCGGAATGGGCTCAGGGCCATCCCTTGGGATGGACCCATGGGATAAACACGGAGCGTTGGGAAGAACTCCAGGGATTTGGGGATCAACCTTCAGCAGGAGGAAAGAGCGGAAATCCTGGAATTGCCATTCCAGAGAGTTTGGGATTATCCGGGACTCTCCAGATCCCAAAATCCTCCTGAGGATCCCGGCTCGGACATTTCCCTCCTCTCCAAGTCCGCCCCATTCCATGGACAAGTTCCCATGGGATTTACTGGAATCCATGGAATGGTTTTCCAGGGAATTCTCTCCATGTGCACTGAGCTCCTTCCAAACTGCCGGAATTCCACATTCCAGAGGCAGGAATTCCTGGATCCTCGTCCCTTTTTCCCACCTCCTGAATCATTCCCAGATCCCATCCCAATCCTGCTGGATCCATCCCCCATCTGGGATCTACATGGGAATTTCAGGGAGCTTGGGAATTTTGTCCTTCCAGGAACTGCCACGTCCAACTAAAAAAATCTGGGAGAAACCCAGAAATATCTGTGAGAATTCCCTTTTTCCAAGAGAATTCCTGAGCCTGGAATCTCCATTCCCTGCCTGGCAGGGTTTGCCGGAATGGGAAATTCCCAAGGTTCTCCTGTCAGCATTTCCTGGGTTGGGAATGAAATCCTGGAATCTGGGAATCCCTGGAAATCCCACTGGGAAAATTCCCAGAATTGCCACTCCCACCCCTGATCCATGGATTTGAAATCCCTCAGGAATGGCGATTCTCACTGCCCTGCTCAGCCCGTTCCCATCCTTCCCAACCTTTTCCATGAAGGATTTTTCCCAAATATTCCATCCCTGGCTCTGCTTGAGGCCATTTTCTCTCATCCCATCCCTTTTCCCTGGGATCAGATTCCGATTCCCACCCGGATCCAGCCAGGGAATTGTTGGGAATTGTCTCCCAACTCCTAATTCCGTTTATTTCCACCTGAATCCCGCGGTTCCAACGGAATTCCAACGAAACCCTCGGGATAACCTGAGCCCGATCTCCACCTGCACGGAATTCCTTGGGATTTCAATGCTGGAATTCCCTGTGCTCCCAACTCATCCATGCCTTGATTTCCCTCAACTCTCCCGCTCTGGAAAACTGGGAGAGCCCAGTGCTCATCCTGAGCCTCCGGAATTCCGGGGCTGAGCAGCATTCCCAGACCCCCCTCCCGCAGATCTCCGGGATCCGCTCTCCCAGCCCGGTAATTTGGGAATGGATATTTTTAGGAATTCCTCTCTCCTTGGTTACTGGGAAACTTCGTGTTCCCAGAGACATCTCCCGGAGAAATCCGAGCTCCGCATTCCTTCCCAACTCGGAGCAGAACATTCCAGCTTTTTTTCCCCGCACCAGAATATCCCAAATTTTGAGCATTTCCATAAGAAAAAATGGAGCTGGATCAGCCTCTTCCCACTTTTTTTTTTTTTTTGGGAGCTCCCGATGCTCCCAAATTCCCGACGATCCGAAATCCTGGCCTTTGATATTTCCTCGGATCCTTTTTATCAACCTCCCACGCTCCGGAGCCGGAATTATCCGCAGTTCCTGCTTTTTTTGCTTCCTGACCTTTCCAGCAGGGAGAGGATCCGGGAATGTTTCTGCGTTCCCTCATTCCCGCAATTCCAGAGGGGGAATGTTTTGTCCCAGAGGACTTTTCCCCCCATTTCCTGGATTTTTGGGCTCCATGTCCTTAAGAAAAACTCTGGAATTTTGTTCATTTGGATCATGGAATTGTTGGGATTGGATTGTCCCATTCCCACCACTGCCCAGAGAAGGTTTTTCCTCATTCCTAAAGAAAATAATGGAATTGTTGAGGCTGGAAAAGCCCTCGGAGACCACCACTAACTGACATTCCCAAATCCAGGTTTTTTTAAACATTCCCAAAGATTTGACTCCACTCCCACCCCTTCCAAAGCTTCTCAACCTTTTCCGTGGAGCAACATTCCCAAATCTTCCATCCAAACCTCCTGAGAGGTCAGACCTTGGCAATTCCCCGGCCTGGCGCCGGGAATTTCCTCATGGAGCCATTCCTGGAATGTGGTTCCTCAGATCATGGAATTGTTGGAAGCTGGAAAAGCCCACGGAGATCAAATCCCAGAATTCCCAGCTCTGCCAGGGCCACCCTGGATCCAGGTCCCCCAAATCCACAGGGATTTGATTCCCTCCAGGAGGAATTTTCCCACTTTTCAGCCTAAGCTGTGGCTGTTCCAGAGGCTGCTCCAGATTTTCCAGGAGGAATTCCAAATGGAATTCAGGCCTGGAATTGGCACCGAGGGAAGCCTGGGAGAGCTCCAGGAGCGACCCAGTTCTCAAAGGGAATGTGGGGACTCCGGAGCCTCCGGATCCACAGCTGGAGAATTCCAGAACCTCCTAATCCTGGTTTGGAAAACTCCTGGAAGCTCCAACGCCTGGGGGACTCTGGATCCCTCTGGATCCACACCTGGAAAACTCCTGGAAGCTCCAACGCCTGGAGGACACCGGAGCCCTCTGGATCCACACCTGCAGAATTCCAGACCCTCCTGATCCCAGCCTGGAAAACTCCTGGAAGTTCCATGACCTGGGGGACTCTGGATCCCTCCGGAGCAACAGCTGGGGGATTTATGGAAGCTTGGAATCCGCAGGAATTTCCCCATGGAAAGGGGGCCAGGCCCTGGCAGGGGCTGCCCAGGGAGGTTCGGAGTGCCCATCCCTGGAGGTGTCCAGGGAATTCCTGGAATTCCACTCAGTGCTCTGGGCTGGCGATTGGGCCCAGCTTGGACTCGGTGCCCTTGGAATTCTTTTCCAAGCCCAGGGATCCCGGGATTCTGAGGTTAGAAGAACATGGGAACAGCTCCAGGATTTTGGGAAGCCTCTCCCGAACGCGGAGCAGGGACATTCCCGGTGTCGCACTGGCACCAAAAGGAAGTTCAGGGAATATGTGAGGCTGGAGCTGGGAAATTATCCATGGAAAAGGAGGAGAGGAGGAAAATCTGGAAATTGGATTCCATGGACAAAAGGAGCTCCCAAGAGCTCAGAGGGAAAGGGACAATTCCCAGTGAGGAAGGAAGAGCTCAGGGAATTCCCAGAACAGNATTGGATTCCATGGACAAAAGGAGCTCCCAAGAGCTCAGAGGGAAAGGGACAATTCCCAGTGAGGAAGGAAGAGCTCAGGGAATTCCCAGAACAGCTCCTGAATCCACTGGGACGAATCCAGGGGAGGCCCTGGAGGTGCTGAAAGGCAGGAGCCCCTCTGGAGTTGGGTTGGGAAATCTGGGAATGTTCCCCTGGAGAAGGGAGGGATCCAGGGAGAGCTTCCAGCACATTCCAGGAGCTCCAGGAGAGCTGCAGAGGGACTGGGGACAAGGATGGAGGGACAGGACCCAGGGAATGGCTCCCACTGCCAGAGGGCAGCCAGGGATGGGAGATTGGGAATGAGGAATTCCTGGCTGGGCTGGGATTGCCAGAGCAGCTGGGGCTGCCCCTGGATCCCTGGAATGTCCCAGGAAAGGTTGGATCAGCCTGGGATCTCAGGAGGTGTCCAGGGGTTGGAAGTGGATGGGCTCTGAGGTTCTTCCGACCCAAACCACACCAGGATTGGGGAATTGTGGAATCCTTGTCCATGGAATGCCGGCGGTGCCTCGGGAAGGGCCCCGAGCCCCCCCGGGCTGGGCAGGGGCTGCCGGGATCCGTGCAGGGAGAGCCCGGGAAAATGGGATCTGCCCCGGGAAAAGTGGGATCTCCCCTGGGAAAAGTGGGATCTGCCCTGGGAAAAGTGGGATCTCCCCTGGGAAAAGTGGGATCTGCCCCGGGAAAAGTGGGATCTCCCCTGGGAAAAGTGGGATCCGCCCCGGGAAAAGTGGGATCCGCCCCGGGAAAAGTGGGATCTGCCCCGGGACAAGTGGGATCTGCCCCAGGAAAAGTGGGATCTGCCCCGGGACAAGTGGGATCTGCCCCAGGAAAAGTGGGATCCGCCCCGGGAAAAGTGGGATCCGCCCCAGGACAAGTGGGATCTGCCCCGGGAAAAGTGGGATCCGCCCCAGGACAAGTGGGATCTGCCCTGGGAAAAGTGGGATCCGCCCCAGGACAAGTGGGATCTGCCCTGGGAAAAGTGGGATCTGCCCCGGGAAAAGTGGGATCTGCCCCAGGAAAAGTGGGATCTGCCCCGGGAAAAGTGGGATCTGCCCCGGGAAAAGTGGGATCGGCCCTGGGAAAAGTGGGATCTGTCCTGGGAAAAGTGGGATCTGCCCCGGGACAAGTGGGATCTGCCCTGGGAAAAGTGGGATCTGCCCCGGGAAAAGTGGGATCTGCTCCGGGAAAAGTGGGATCCGCCCCGGGAAAAGTGGGATCCGCCCCGGGAAAAGTGGGATCCGCCCCGGGAAAAGTGGGATCTGCCCCGGGATCGGGGCGGCTCTGCCGGCATCGGGGCAGGATCGGGAATGTCCTCCTGGCTCTGCCCAGCTCCTGCCAGGAGCCAGCGGGGATCGGGATCTGCTCCAGGGAATGAGCCCCGGGAAAAGAGGGAGCGGCCTCAGCCCGGCCAGGGCAGGCT